AAAAAAAAAAAGAAAAAAGAAATAAGCAGCTTATAATCGGAGGAATGCCTAGAGCAGACACAGGGCAGAGCATGATTTAAGGGAAAAACAGTTATACCAGGACAAGAATCCATGGCCCAGGTGCCAGCGTTCAGTATCATAAAGATACCCGCTGTATGGCAGGCTTGGGGCAAGAGCCACTCCTCCTGATAAAGGAGCTGTAGGACCTTGCTGCAGTTCTTGTGGAAGGCTGCCCTCAGATCGGCAATCCACCTTGGTGACTGTGAACTTTATCAGCTCTTGCCACTGTGCTGCTCGAAAAGCATCTTCCCATAGAACTCATTGGAAGCTGCCAGCAGGTGGCAGTAACCCTGACAGCTCTGTCACTACTGTATGACTTAAAGCATCCCCCCATAAATCTTCTTAGTAGTTTGCCCATAGATAGAAGTATTGCACACTGCACCCTCTTCACTGCGCACGACCCACCTTCAAGCCTCAGTGACCTAATGGGAGTGGACCCCTTACTGCACATGGCCCTTGCCTTGATGGGAACGGGCCCCTTGCTGCACACTATCTCCTAGCCTAGGTGACCTAATGGGGGTGGACCCCTTGTTTTATTGCTCACGACCCTATCACTATCCTTAAAAATGATTTCACTCACTGCCCTGCCCCCTAACCTATACACAATAAATACTCATGCTTCTGGACATTTGGGGCCTCGCCTGACTCCGCTCATAGGTGACGTGGCCCCTTGAGCCCAGCTGCATTTTCCTTGTACTTCTGTGTTCTGTCTCTTTATTTCTCGGATCCTGAGCTTCAGCACAGTATAAGGCACACCCCATGACCCTGTGGGCCATCAGCCCTACACCAGCACGTTGAGAGACTGAGGTGCATTAATGTTGATAAGTGATTTGGGGTATAGTTTTCTTATAATTTCTTTTTCTGGCTTGGTATTAGGGTAATGCTCGCCTCAAAATGAGTTAGGAAATTTTCCCTTCTCTTTAATTTTTTTGGAAAATATTTTAAATAATTGTTGTTAGTTCTTTAATTGTTTGGTAGAATTTGCCAGTGAAGCAATTAGGTTCAGAGTTTTCTTAGGTGATCGATTTTATTTTTTATTTATTTTTAGAGACAGAGTCTTGCTCTGCCACCCAGCCTGGAGTACAGTAGTGCAATCCCTCTACCTCAGCCTTCTAGGGACCACAGGCACATTCTGCCATACCCAGCTAATTTTTGTATTTTTATTTTATTTATTTATTTTTTTTTGAGACAGAGTTTCACTCTTGTTACCCAGGCTGGAGTGCAATGGCGCGATCTCGGCTCACCGCAACCTCCACCTCCTGGGTTCAAGCAATTCTCCTGCCTCAGCCTCACGAGTAGCTGGGACTACAGGCGTGCGCCACCATGCCCAGATAATTTTTGTATTTTTAGTAGAGACGGGGTTTCACCATGTTGACCAGGATGGTCTCGATCTCTTGACCTCGTGATCCACCCGCCTCGGCCTCCCAAAGTGCTGGGATTACAAGCGTGAGCCACCGCACCCGGCCTAATTTTTGTATTTTTAGTAGAGACGGGGTTTCACCATGTTGACCAGGATGGTCTCGATCTCTTGACCTCGTGATCCACCCGCCTCGGCCTCCCAAAGTGCTGGGATTACAAGCGTGAGCCACCGCACCCGGCCTAATTTTTGTATTTTTAAATAGAGACGGAGTCTCACTATGTTGCTCAGGCTAGTCTCGAACTCCTGGCCTCAAGTAATCCTCCAACTTGGGCCTCCCAAAGCTCTGGGATTACAGGTGTGAGCCACCTTGTCTGGTGAGTATATATATATTTTTGTTACTGACCCAATCTCCTTATGTGTCATAGGACTATTCAGATTTTCTAATTTTTCATGATTTAGTCTTCATAGATTTGGTGTTTCCAGAAATTTTTAAATTTCACCCAGGTTATCAAATTTTTGATACACAATTGCTCATAGAACTTTCTTACAATCCTTTTTATTTCTGTAAAATGGATAATAATGGCTCTACTTTCATTTTTTATTTTAGTGATTTGAGTCTTCTCTCTTAGCTCATCTAGATAAAAGTTTGTCAATTTTTTTCAATGAACTAGCTTTTGGTTTCATTGATTTCCTTATTTTTTTCTGTTTCCTTTTTTTTTTTTAATCTCTGCTCTAAAATGTATATATTTTTTCCTTCTGGTATTTTTGGGTCTACTTTGCTGTTTTTCTAGTTCCTTAAACTATAAAAGTAAGTTGTTGGTTTGAGATCTTTCGGACATTTTTTTTGTGTGGGGGGCGGGGGCAGGATCTCATTCTGTCACCAGACTGGATGGAGTGCAGTGGCACAATCATGGTTCACTGCAGCCTCAACTTCCTGGGCTGAAGTGATCCTCCCACCTCAGCCCCACAAGTAGCTCAGACTACAGGCACACACCACCGCGCCTGGCTAAGGTTTGTTTTTTTGTAGAGATGGGATTTCACCATGTTGCCCAGGCTAATCTCCAACTCCTGGGCTCAAGCCATCCATCCACCTCAGCCTCCCACAAAGTGCTAGGGTTACAAGCATGAGCCGCTGCAACCAGGCTTCTTTTTTTTTTTCTTTATTATTTTTTAATGTAAGCATTTGTAGCTATAAATTTTGTCCCTAGCAGTCTGGGCACGGTGGCTCAAGCCTGTAATCCCAGCATTTTGGGAAGCCGGGGCAGGTGGATCACCCGAGGTCGGGAGTTCAAGACCAGCCTGACCAACATGGAGAAACCCTGTCTCTACTAAAAATACAAAATTAGCTGGGCGTGGTGGCGTGTGCCTGTAATCCCAGCTATTTGGGGGCTGAGGCAGGAGAATCGTTTGAACTCAGGAGGTGGAGGTTGCGGTGAGTCGAGATCACGCCATTGCACTCCAGCCTGGGCAACAAGAGAGAAACTCTGTCTCAAATTAAAAAAAAAAAAAAAAAAAATTTCCCCTGTAGCACTCCTTTTGCTGCATTACATAAACCTTTTATTTTCATGTCTCTAAGTATTTTCTAATTTCTATTTTGATTTATTCTTTGAATTATTGGCTGTATAAGAGTATTGTTTAATTTCCAAAACTTTGTGAATTTTCTAGTGTTACTTATTTTATTGATTTTTAATTTCATTCCATTGATGTTGGAAAGATACTTTTAATGACATCTATCTTCTTAAATCTACTGAAACTTAATTTGTGGCCTAACATATATGCTGGAAAATAATTCTTGTGCACTTGAGAAGATTGTGTATGCTGTTGCTGTGTGGCAGCTATTAGGTCTTCTTATCTTACTGTGTT